TGTAAAGCACTTAGGAAGCGGTAGAGCACTCAAGAAGTAGGGAAAAACACTCGACTACGTCTCGTGTTTTCCCCTACACTTCTTTCGTGCTCTACCGCCTCCTGCGTGCTTTACAACAGAACAGAGCACAGTCGGGGCTTCTTTATTTGTTAATTATTACTAGATCAAATACAAAATATGGTATATATATTATCTACAGTATACATACATGTACATTTAATTTAGCCTCAATTTCTGCCACTCTTCCCCAAGAAGAGACCATGTATAGGTATACATTTTATAAGATCTTTAATAAGAAAGCTACTCTGCGCCATACCTCCAACATTAAAAGATCCAGAGTAAGCTAAATTCTTGGGTCGTCCAGAGGGTGTTCTGGGAGGGGGTGAGGGGGTGGCCTCTTCAGTCTGCTGTCCGTCTGTAGATACTGTTGATACTACGTTGGTTTGAGAGTCTGATGTTGACACAGGCGACTCATCACTTTTTATTGAGTTGTTGCTTCCAAAGTTTGTTAACTCAACATGATTGTCATCCTCTGGGCTCAGTAGTGCTGATTCTGTGCCTAAAGAATACCTCTTGGCATTCAACAATCTTTTGGGACGTTTTTTTGTGGTATTAGAAGATGAAGTGTCTGTCTCATCTGTAACTCCATTAATTTCACGTTCTCGGGCACTGTCTTCTTCTTCAGCTGTCGTTGACTCAGTTGTCGTGACATCTTCTAATCTTATTTCTGGTGTCTGCTCTCCAGAGGTCATACTGTCTACACTGATAATTACTGTTCCAGAATCCTGATGCCCGTCCACAAGATTTCCTTTGCTTACTTCACCCTCAGTTTCAGTAGTTTTCTCAACACCTTCCACACTAGTCATCCTCTCCAATGCTGCAATATTTTTGCAGACATTTTGAAATTCTTTGTCTACAGACTCCTTTACCTCAGACACAGTATTGCCAAGCTGTTTTGTAGCTTCAGCACTGTCAGATTCAGATTGATCAACACCATTTTCTGTGGATGCTCCCTTCAGGCTTTTGGTTTTCAAAAGTCTTGCCTCTTTTACATTTTCTGTCATAATTGGTATTTTACCAGAATCAATAACTTTCAACACCCCATTGTTGTTGATCAATCGAAATGACCCAGTCCTTTCAACAGGTCGCTCTTTATTTTCTTCGATATCAACTTCCATTACACTTTCAGTTCTGGTTTGATCTGCATCCAATGTGTCTGACACAGACATATTCTCACAGCTTTGATGATCTGCTTCCATTGGCTCTGTGACAGAAACATTTTCAGTACCTTGATGACCTGAATCGTCAACGAGCACTACCCCATCCACAGTGGTTACATCATCAGCTGAAGCTCTTTCAGCATCAATTGATTTGTATTTTTCTTTTGCAAACACAGACCCTATGTTTCCATTGGTGTTTAAAACTGGATCATTTCCAGTAACGGCCACTATAACTGGACATTCAGACTGTGGAAAATGCGATAATATTTGTTCTCCAGTGTCGTTTTCATCTTCGTCACTCATAATGTTTAAAGGAGAAAAATTGTTTTCCACCGAGGATTCTTCTGACGTTTTAGAGGTACTATTTAATGAGTCTCCTTTATTACTATCGTCCTCTGAGTCTGTTGTGACACTCACAATTTGAGTGAAATAATTGTTTGGGAATGCTGATAAAATTTCTTCAACTCCATCTTGAAAGGTACAGTTATCTTGTTCAGAATCCTGGTCCTGCTTAAAAGAGAGGGATTTGATAAGTTCACACAATATGATTGCTTAATATACAGTGGAACCTCTATTTAGAAACACCTACTTAATACAGACACCCACTTATAATGGACAGTGTTTTGGGAGAGTAGAGGAGGGCATGAGAGGCTCATATACATTACTACAGACAGTTTAAGGGCTCATTAACCGATCTTTTCGAGCCGCTGCTAAGGAAAATTTACTCTCATATAACCTCATCATTTTTACTTACATGTAGTTCAGAGTTACTTCATGTGTTTTAACTTTTTCATGATCAGCAACAACTAGTGAAGAAATCATCAGGTCAAGCCCATGATCATGTGACTAATACTGAAAAAATGCAAAGGCTCCCAGGCAAATTACTTTATCAGGATTTTTTTCATTGATTTAATATTTTAATGTAAATTCTCCCTACGCTATGCATAGATTTTGTTTCATTTCTAAAAGTTCAGATTTTGAGAGAATTTCAAAATATTAAAAAATTCGTAATTTTCTGAAAAAAGCATGATTTCGAAAAAGGAATGTTTCCAATGTTGGCTTTAAAATCTCTCAAAAAAGGCTGGATTTAATGGAAAACCGTGTTTCCTTTAGCATTTGAAGAAACCAGAAGTGCGCCCAATAATATTGGAAGTTACCCTATCAGCACGTGCTCAATTTACACTACCAGCGTACTTCAGTAAGATCAAACAAAGCCACATGGAGTTAGTTTTTCTCTTCCTATTGTGCTTGCTTTTCTGTCTTTCTCTTATTTTGTTGTTGCTTGTACTTTTTTTTACTTTACATTTTGTGAAACACAAACAAAAAGATCTAAAATGTAAGTGAATTTGGAAGTTATTGAGTTGTTGTTATTTTCCGAGCTCAGGCTGAAGTAAGTAACCGGAAGTGAAATATCACCTCCTTAGCAATGCACGCGAGCGCACGCATAAATCAATTAATGAGCCCTTAACCACTCTTTATCAGTTGATGCTACAATCATGGTATCAAAAACTGCCCAATCATTGGTGAACACATTGTTATCATTTTTTTGACACAACAGGTTACCATAGGAACAGTATGACCTACTAAAAACACATCCTTAACTTTAGTTTTAAAGCTTTAAAGTGCCCCCTCGATATCCATTTTTTTTGCATTTTTGTACACAATGGGTCTTTCCTAGATATCTTGCCAAATTTCAATCTGTTACCAACGTTATAACTCATGTTTTTTGAACCTTTATTTCCGAGAATTCACAGTCACTATTTGTCCTTGTTCCAAGTTGTAGTTGAGAANTCGAGCTATCCAAGGATTCTTCTGAAACTTCAAATGTTGATCTCTGATCGCAATTTGCAATTGGGGCTTGAGAGGTTTCTTGACATCTGTCTTCGTCCAAAATAGCTGTCTCTTTTTTTGTATTCGTATTTTCACTGTTAACAGATAATGTGCCTTCCAACTGCGTTTCATTCACAGTTTCTGTAAGTTCATACAAAGTGGAGGACTGCAACTCGCGACTTGTTTCCGCTTCATCGGCTGAAAAAAATGACTCTTCATCTTGACTTGCACTAGCAGAGATGTCGAGACTTCTGCGAATTTCCCGTGAAATTTCGAAACCCACAGGAGATTCCAGATCGTCCTTTCTCTCACTAACAAGGCTTAAATCCTCTTTAACTGCTTTGCTTTCATTTGAGCTTTGCACTGAGTTCGTTGCATTTGCATAAGCAGCTAAATCATTTAGCTTCACGGAGGAATTTTCGACGCAACTCGACACATTAGCTCTCGCTTCGTTCGCACTGTCTTTATCTGTACAGCTGTCTTTTAACACTCCGTTCTTTGTTTCATGCGATTCGAAATTCGTATCATCTCCTTGTGATGGAACGTGGTTATTCAGACATTCGACGTCTTCTCCTTGTTTCAGCGAGAGCTCAACCGGCAGGGTGTTCGAACAGCAATCACTGGTCATCACCTCTTCCCTGGGTAAAGGTGGCTTTGAGCCTGCTTTATTCTTCATTTTCTCGGCTTTCTTTCGGCGAGCAGGAGGAGTTATCTTGACCTCTTCTGATTCCAATATTCTGTTTTCACTTCCTTCCACAAACGTAGCTCTTGGTCCTTGTTCTAATGCCATTTCCTCTCGCGAACTGGCACAGCCTAAACATCGGATTTACTTCGGGTCGGATGTTTTTACACTTCTCTCTTCGACGCTTCGCTTGCCCTGCATTAATTACTCTGAGAAAACACGAAGATAAAAATCGGCTGCATGAATCCACATTCTCAAATTGTCAACAAAAACAAATTGCCCATTGTATTTCATTACAGAGTAAATTTTCCTCGCGATTTTTTCGTTTCACTGAAGATTCCGATCTTAACACTCAAACGTCACGTGGGAGGAAGTCGCTCGGGCCGAACGGAAGTCAGGTATACGACAATCTGATTGGTGGAAATTCCTGCGTAACACTTGCCAGGGTAAAAGGTGCAAATTTTCAGTTTGCTTTTTGCTTGCACTCTGTTTGCACTTGATTCCTTCGTGGTCTGGGTGTTGCTCTTTGCCGTTGCAATTTTTTACGCCTTCATCGTCAACTGAAAAGGTGAGAAGAATGCTTTTTATCTAACTGCGAAATATCGTGAGTATCATATTAGCTTTATTTTAATTTCAATAACGTCCGTTTGTCTCTTGCCGGCCTTCATGTTCGCATATTAAGATAAGATTGTATGTTTTGTAAGCTTAAGTTATGCAAGTAAGATGGCGAGCTGTAGCTAGTTATTGTGCAGTTTTGTTTGCTTGGCATATGTTCCATTTCGGTCTGTGATTGTACAGTTCTTCGTCGCATTAATGTACCATGAAGTATAAAAGAGCTTAGTTCAACTTGATACCGTTCTTCTCTGGGGTTGGTGCAGATCATCGAAGGTTTTCTTGCTCTGAAATTAATAAAGACGCAAGTTTCAATGCGATGTTCGTCAAGTTGCAATCTCGCATATCCCAATCGGTTGTAAAGATACTTCTTTGACGAAAACAGAACGTTATTTTCGCGGTAATTATATTGTAACGCCATTTACAATAATGTACCTTCTAACAAGTGAAGGTACATAAGATACATTTTTTAGGAAGGCTGCCTTGTTTTCACAATCCCTACAGCAAAAAGGAAACATTGGCGACATGGATTTGATATGTCAGTTTGATTATTGAAAATATTTTTTAGCCAAATGATATATGAAATTTGTTTCACATCCTCAAGGGCGTGTATAAGTTCCAGAAGTGTTGCAGCTCTCGTAAGCTTGTAATTCTTTTGCTCATTAGCAGCTGTTATTGTTTTGGGGCTTGGGGCATCGTTTCTGTTGATTGTTATATTGTCCTCTCAAAGGGTATCAAGCCACTCATGTGAGACCTTACGAGAGCTGCTACCCGACCGGCATCACTTTGGCATCTGGTCGTTTAGCCCCCAAGTCAATTAAGGCTGGTTTTCGCTGAGGGATAAGCATAAAGCTTGGTTCACACTTGTGGGATAAGCATAGCATTAGTGAAATTAGCAGGTTCCCACCTGTGACATAAGCGTAACAGAATAAGCATAAGCACAAGAAAAAGAACCATGTTCCCTTTTTCTTGTGCTTGCACTTATGCTTATTTCACTGTTGTTATGCTTATCTCACAAGTGTGAACATCGTATGCAGATGCAGTAAAGTGCTGTTCAGTAGTCCCTTTCATATGGAAATTTTCCAACAAAAGATACAGTACTAATTATTATTATCAACATCTTACTGCATCTGCATATGTCAGCTTGAGCTTATGCACCAGTGAAAACCGGCATTTAGCCCTCAACCAGAAGTCAATTAGCCCCAAACCCAAGGTTTATTAGCTTCCGAATAAAACTCAGTAACTTAATCTTCTCTCACGCACCCAGCCAGAACATTTCAATGGTTGAGCAGGCTATTCTTTACAAGCCCATTTTAACAATACGACATGGTGACTTTTACTGGGCAAGAAAGGAGTGGAGTTATCTATTTTCCATTCTTGTTAGACCATAATCCAAATCTCATTATTCTTCTCATGCAGTCGGTGATAACTGACCTATTTCCTCTATAAACATACATGCTCAGCAACAAATGTATATAGTGAGTTCAAAAGAAAACATTTTTGGCAGGAGGGGAAAGGAGAGGGGAGAGCTAAACAGCTTTTGTGAAGGCTGATCAACGAAAGGTTAGGAGCTTATTGACTTCTGGTTGGGGGCTAACAGGCTGACAACTAATAAACTTGGGCCGAAAGGACCTTCATACATTCATTCTAAGCTTCTCTGTGATGAACAAATTTTCAGAGCTTGGCATTCACTATCTTGGCATTCTCTAATTTTTCATTTTTGTCATTCTTTGCAAGCCTAATGAAACTACATCCTGTCCAATCTGGAAATGATATTTATTAATCTGATTAAAACATCTGAGGCTGACCAAAAGTGGGTCACAACAAGCACAACATGCATTTATTCCACATTACTTGACAATGTCATTTTGTACCAGTACCCAAATTGGATTATCTAACTGAGCACAGTAATGTCCAGTTTGGAAATTCTTGAATGGTAACTTTGAGGAGGTCAGCAAAATTGGGCCAGGTCACAGGTATTGTTTAATTTAGTAGCCAGAGGAGTTTTTCTCTAGACAGTACCTTGTAAAATAACATGTTACTATATTGTATAAGGGACCTGGCATTTGTGCAGTCTAATATAGGAAATAATGAATAACTATTTGAATGGGATTTCACAGTAGCTATATAAATGATGATTGCAATAAGGCTGAGTGGAGTCTAACTGAGTCTGTAATACATTGCCTGTTGAGTTTTTTCTTTTTTTCTGAGATCCAATATGAAAACTGGAACCCTTTTCAAGTGCAGCTGTACAGTACTATCATAATGTGCATAAATTACGTATACTATTTACTTACTTTAGCATAGTATTAGTACTGATCTATAACTGTGACAGTGTGTAGGGCCACCTGATGACCACTCAGATTCAAGAATGTACCAATTACTGCACTGTGATTAATATACATGTACAGTACTGAGAGTTTGTGTGTAACTAAGAATCCTTGTACGTAGTATTTTGTTACAATGATAAAACCAGGATTGAAAATAGTCTTGCATTGGAGTGGGGAAGTGGACTAGTTGAAGGGGTATTGGTCTGTAACAGTTTATCCATCCTCATTGTGCAGATACATAGTGATACTAGTTATCCAATGCTTTTGAGTTGTAAACCATGGAATATCCACAAATCACTCGTATTTTTTCGGTATACACACATTCAACTTCTAGGCAAGTGTGTATGCCAAGAAACTACAATTGAAAAGTGGGATATTCCATGGTATACCATGAGAGAACATTCCATAACTATTTTATACCATGCCATAGAAAATACAGTGGTCAACACAATCAATGTGACATACGCGCAGCACATGATGGAAAGGTTGGATGTAATACCGTCAAATATACAACTGTTACAGCTTTCCTGTATTCTGATTGGCTATATTTTTTATGGCATGGTATAAATGTAGATATTTAATTTTGGTCATTCAAAGTCTCATCAAACAAGCTTTCAGCTCTCTGGTAGCAAGGCTTGTGCTCTGCTGCTTGAGATTGCTGACAAACCTTTGTGCAGGTGGGTGTGAAACAATTATGGGGGTGGGAGAGTTGATGAAAGGGTGGCAATGGGAGACTAAATTTGGTCACCAAATGTAAATGGAAACTATGTGGACACCTAGAAAGCAAATTCCCCCAGTTGTTACCAGCAGTACCGTAAATGTGTGGAGATTTATTGTAAAGAAGAATTTACAGGTTGAATTGTTGCTAATTTGTGCATTCATTGCACAGTTGAATCATGTCTGCAAGAGGAGCACGATTGGAGTATGTTGGAGACTTGGACCTGCGTCAAGAGCAGTGGGCCGCTACACAAGCCACTAATTATCTGGAATTCATGTCAGATATGGATATCGACCGTGATCCTCGCACAATTCGTAACTCTGGCCTTATCTGTACACTAGGTAATAAACTATCTCAAAGTTCAATACATGTATTGATCTGCAGGATTTCTTAGTACAGCCTTAGATTATTATCATTTCAGTACGTCCTTTCATTTGTGTCATGTTGTAACATTGATCAAGGCTACTTCATGTACATGCATTAATTTTATGTTGCATTTATTGCTCTCAGGTCCTGCCTCAAGAGACAAAGACATCATCTCCCAATTGATTGAAAATGGCATGAACATTGCAAGATTGAACTTCTCCCATGGAACACATGAGGTATTCTAATCTCAGCTAAAATCAGGCTCTTTGCCAGTACAAGGGCAGATGAGGCAGTTCTCAAAGTCTGTTTTGTTTTGTTTGGGTTGCCACCATGCAGCTCTCTATTTGAAGAATTCCTTAGTGATAAAGTAGTGCATTAGATCAGTAAGAAAAAAGTCATCTGACTTTTTCATTTAATTGTCAGAGTTAACTGACTGTTGGTTATCTTACCTTTGTTGTCTCACCAACTATTTATTGGCCTGCAAACTTCTAAAGTTGGTCCTAAGAGAATTTGTGCGGTTATTCATACAGAATATGGGGTCCAATCACACGGGCCAATCCCTGTCTAGATTTCTCAAAGTGCTTCTCAAAGTGACATCTGCAGTTCTTTTTTTTAGTATCATGCAGAAACCATCAACTTGGTCAGGAAGGCAGCAATTGAAGAATGGCCTCACGCTGTTGCCATTGCACTGGACACCAAAGGACCAGAGATCAGAACTGGACTGTTAAAAGGGGTGAGTGAAACTTTTGTATATATTAAGCCTTATGCGGAATATTTTTCTTATTCCTAATGATGCAGTGGATCGGAGAAAGCTTGGATTTTGAAAGATTTTAACATCAATTTTGCAGTAGTTTTGGGCGTAATTTGAACTTTAATTTGCACTTTTCTTTCCTATTTATTGGTTAATTAATTAATTAAGTCTTCACTTTCAGTGCAAATTTTTAAATACAGTGTATATTGAAGCCAGCATATGAATCTGTAAATGAAGAACACACTTGAAGTTTGCCGCATGCATTCATAGTTGAGAAAAGCATTATCAGATTGTTCAGCTGAATTTACTGGTAGCTATTGTGACATCACTGGAATTAATTTTTTTAGGGAGGAAGCTCAGAGATATCTTTGCACAAAGATGACTTACTGAAACTTACCACAGACAAAGCGTATTATGACCAAGGAGACGAGAAAACCATCTACATTGATTATGAGAATATCACAAAAGTGATGAAGGAAGGAGGGATCATATTCGTAGATGATGGCCTTATTTCACTGAAAGTCATGGAAATTGGCGCAACCTATCTGTTAACAAAGATACTAAATGACGCTAAACTGGGTAGCAAGAAAGGAGTTAACCTGCCAAATGTTGAAGTTGATTTGCCAGCAGTCTCTGAACAAGACAAAAAAGATATTCTTTTTGGTATAGAACAAGAAGTAAGAATCTCTTAATTTTTGTTTTGTGTTATCCTACAGTGCTTTTTAAAGTCTCAACAGGGATGTCAATAAGTTTTGAAGTAGATGTCCCAAAGTTAGCTCCCATCCAGAGCCCAGCGTCAGCTGAAGGCAGGAGAGGACTGACTATGTTTAATCTCCTAGTTTTGTATTCATTTCTGTGGTGAAGGTACCTTTTTCAGGGGGGGAGGAAAGGGGGCAGTAATGCATTACCATAAAGAATGCATCAAATGCTGCAAATATACCACAGCATTCTTAGCAAATGCTGCATTTAACTAGTTAGGCTAGCATGTAGGGGTTTTATTAACATTCTCAGCAGGAGGGCAACTGGTTTTCACAGGCGGGCAAAACTATTTGAACCAAACTTTTTTATAAATTACAAAAACATTCCACTACAGCCGGGCAAAATCATGCTCACAGCCGGTCAATTTGCCTGGTGCCTGGCCCTCAATTAAACCCCTGTAGCTTGTATAGCTGGCAGTTTTCTTGTCAGCAAAAGGTGAAGCAAAAAGGATTAGTAGGGCCACAACAAAGATGACACAACTTAAGTGAAAGTGAAGATTAACCAGAACTGCCTTCAGTCGTTTACTTTCATGTTAGAAATAGGTCACATGATGGAAAAACTGTTTTAGTTTGTTTTCAACATGGAAAGAAGTTTGAAAGCAGCTGGAAAGAGATGAAAGATTAAGTTGTTATACAGTCAGACTATTGCTTAAAATGCCCTTTAAATTCATCTGGCAGGTTTTGAGAATGCCACTGACAACGCTGAAATTCAAAGTTAAAACTGCTGAAATATTACATGGAAAAATTGTCCACTACTGCAATGCCACATGCACCTATGTCCCCCTTCCTTTTTGTAAAGGCAAATTAACAACTTTGTTGTGCAAGTGAAGGAAAACAACTTTCCTAAATGTGTTTAACTTCTTAAAACACCCTAATTGTTTCTGTAAATTTGTCAAACAATGTTTAATGAATGTGTGATGGTGCATTTTCAGGTGGACATGATATTTGCTTCATTCATTCGTAAAGCTGATGACATCAAACAAATACGGAAGCTTCTTGGACCAAAGGGACAGCCAATCAAAATCATTGCCAAAATAGAGAACCATGAAGGTGTTCGCAAATTTGATGAGATCATGGAAGAAGCTGATGGAATCATGGTAGCCAGAGGAGATCTGGGCATTGAAATTCCTCCAGAGAAAGTGTTTTTGGCTCAGAAGATGATGATAGGTCGGTGCAACAAGAATGGAAAGCCAGTTATATGTGCTACACAGGTAATAACATACCACTTGTGAAGGTGAATTAATCAACATGACACGAGCATGGGACAAAGGAAAATTCTGAGTCCCCGACAGGAATCAAACCCATGACCTCCCGAACACCACACGAGCGCTCTATCCACTGAGCTACGAGAACTCATGGAGAGCAAGGTCATTTAACTGAGTTCATATATGATAGGTGTCCTGCATACTGCTAGGANAGCAAAAACAACCATGTACTTGCTTGTTTTCTCCAATAGATGTTGGAAAGCATGATTCATAATCCTCGTCCAACGCGTGCGGAAAGTTCAGATGTAGCAAACGCCATTATTGATGGAGCAGATTGTGTCATGCTCTCAGGTTTGTGCCTTAATTGTTATACTATAGACATGATGTAACGCGCATTTTGATTGGCTCCAAATCATGACACATTACATGTACGAGCAAGGAAAGTCGTGTCCGAAGCTTGGCGCTAGTGGAGCTTAAGTGGATACTGTCCTTTAAATTAATTAGTCAGTTAATGCTAGTACAAATTCAAGCAAATTAAAATCGGTATTGTAAGTCCGTGTACATTAGGTGAAAGAGCTAAGGGACAAAATTGTCAGCAACGTACTTTTGTTGATTGTGATTATTTTCACGTCATTAGGTGAGACAGCTAAGGGACGTTATCCAGTCAAAGCCATTGCTATGATGCATAAGATTTGCCGTGAAGCAGAGGCAGCTATTTTCCACAGACAGTTGTTTGATGACCTGAGGCACGCAATGAAGAGAGTGGCTGACACTCATGAGGCTACCGCTCTTGCTGCCGTGGCGGCTTCATTTACAGCTAATGCCGCTTGCATCATCTGTCTTACGCACACGGGAAAGTAAGTAGCCTCTCGGATTTTCCTTTATCATTTAGAAGAGACAGAGTCAACGTAGGAGATTTTGTTTTGATGTACTGCCAAATTCTCAGTACTAACCTGCAAGGCTTGCGTAGTGATTAGTAAGCAGAGTATAATATTTCAACTCTCTGAAACGGTCGGTATACTATCTGCCCTCGCTGTAAAGCTGCTGAATTTGCACCAAAGCCGTAATTTTTGTTAATCCGTGGGGAGGTTCCTGCGTGCGTGGGTGGAAAAGTGTAGAATTCCGCTAACTTGAACTGGCCACTGTCATTTACCATCACTCGTGCATGTCGAACTCGAAAATATATTAATTTCCTTCGGCTGAAATGTACTCTGGTCAGTGGAACTCTACGCTCAAATTATTTATCAACTGTCGGTCGGTTATAAGTGGTTAACGTGTCAGTATCTAAAATTTTCATCGATAACGAAGTAGGATGGACTAAAAACGACTCGTGAATGTTGATTTTAATGTAACTTTTTGTATATTTTATTAACATTATAATTGAGATGCAACTCTAACCATTAACTGGAACGAGCTTGTTTCCCTTGGCATTTCGAGTTAGTGGAATTCTACTGTACTTGCCATTTGAAGTAACACCTCCTCCTTTAAGAACTCAGTACTTGAACTCAATTCTGTTTCTGTTAGGACTGCTGAAGTCGTTTCGCGATTCCGGCCGCGTTGTCCAATCATAGTGGTGACACGTGACGCGCGCGTGGCTCGTCAGATGCATTTGAACCGTGGTTGCTTCCCTCTGATATACGACAAACCACCAAAAGACAACGTGCTGGAAGAACATGATGAGCGGCTGGACTTTGCGCTGGATATGGGCAAAAGGATGGGCTTCATGAAACTTGGAAACACGTTCGTGTTTGTATCGGGTTGGAAGGCAGGCGCCGCGCACACCAACACCATCCGTATACTGACTGTTATGGAGGAGAAGATACACATTGCCAAGAGCTTGTCAGAATCTGCTGATCTCCAAGGAAAAATGATCAAGTAAACTGCTGCCCGGGCTCAGGCTGTCGGTTGTGTGAAGCAAGATTGCTGTTTTTACAGGATGTTGGTTAACTTTATAGTCATGATTTCACGTTTTAGGTCTTGGAACCGTTTTGATTGTACGAACTGTGTGTGATATTTAAATTTTTATTAGACAAAGAAATTGAACATAATTTCATTTCCTTTACAACCAAGAGTAGCTCAAATCCTTTTTTAACAACCAGAGCTGAGAAAGTTATTTATCTCCAAGAAAAACCTTTTTCAGTTTGGGAAAATGAGAATACTTAAATTGTAGGCATTTTAGATGAAGAGAGTTTTTTTTATACAATTGTGCACTCCAATGAGTAAAGGAATTATTAAGATCCAGAGATGAAGAACACACGATTAGCCCCTGCCGAACAGGCGCTCGAGTAGCGAGAACACGCGCAATAGTTAGAACGTGCGCGGTACAGACACGTGAGGAAGAAGAAAGAGAACCACTTCGCCGCGCGAACAGTTGTTCCAACTCGCGACCTGTTATTACTCCAGCGCCTGTTACGCAGATTGATATCACATCCAACAAACTAGCCACACTGTTGAGAATAACACTACGGGGTTAAACTAACACCGTGACATCCCCGTTACGTCACAGTTTCATAATATGCTCGTGCGGGATTATGCTTGTGGAACTTTAATTCTGGTAAGAGTAGATGGCTTATAAACGGTAAAAAAAGACGTTTGGAAACGAGCTGCACAAAAAAAAAAACGACGTAGAGACTAAAGAAGAATATGGTGTTCATCTGCACTTTCTGTGGCTATTTAAAATTGCACAAGCACAATCAGAAAATTAGTCTGCTTGGAGACTTCTGTAATAATAAGGAAAAGTTAGAGCTACGGGGAGAGGCTATAAACGAAATATGTATATTTTTTTTGTCCGGGGGGGGGGTATACCCATATAAGTAGAGGATGGCGTTCTAAAAGGGATTTATGATATACAGTATTTAGGGTAATCTCAGTGCATATGAACTACAGTAAAGTGATCAAACATTTCGCGCGTTGATATGTGATTTCGAAACTTTCTTGTTGATGTACATCTACAGAAACACAACAAAATGAAAATAAAAGAAAAAGAGAATTAAGTTGAATGAAGAGTTCGGGTATCTCACAATTAATTCCAATATTTTCAGTATTTTTTAGTGGTTAGATGCAGTCATGACGCTATACTGAACATCAGACAGTGGCCAAGTATTTAGTGAACAAGTTGTGATCATTTTGTTAACGGAAAAAGGTTGCCATAGCAACAGTATAATCGTTGCTTGTAACTCAAAAACTAGCTTGGTGACCATGTTTTATTGTCAAATTGTGGTTTGCATGCTTTGCTAAATTAAAAAAATAAGTAGGAAGGGGCCTAGAACCGCTGAAACTGAATCAGCAATTTAAAAAAGAATTACAACAAGTTCAGTTTCTTATACGAGCAAAAAGAATATCGGGTCTGATTATTGTAAAGGACTTTTGCCACCAAGAAATTCTGCAGTCTTTGAATGCAGATACCTTTTAAAATAGTACACCCCAAAAGTTGAAATGTTCACGAATATCAAAATTTTACAGTTTCTTCCCGTTTTTAGAGTCGATAAGTGTCTGGGATTGTGCCCTTTGTGACTTCTTGGCTACGGAAAGTCGTATGCTTGTGTGCAAAATGTAAACAAAAATCTCAGCAGAGATTCCCCTATAGCTCTGTGCTAAATAAACCTGGCGAAAAAACAAACAAATAACTCGGCATGTATCGTCATCACGGCAAACAAACACGGATAAAAAGGCAAAGAAAGACCTCAAACAACGAATAACTTCAAACATACTTTTATTTGTATTGTGTAGTTTTTCCCGCTAAGTATAATCAACATCAGTCTCTCCGGTCTCTCCCGCCGCGTTCGAGAGCAATGGACTGGGGCGCCTGAAATTCAACCTCTGATAACGTACTGACTTTCCAGACTGAGATCTGAGAGGTTTTTGATTGGTTGTCTTTTGCGCAGGAATATTCAAGACGAGGCCAACAACCAAACGGATACACTAGCTATCCCGTTATCAATACGGAATTTTCGTTTCGAGCGAAAAAATTCAGCTATAAAACATAAAATGTAGCATTCCAGAAGGCTGAGTGCATGGTTGGCTATTTACAACTGTATTTCCAAAGCGTGACTTAAGACTCTCACAATATGACTGAAAACGTTATCGCTGCCATCATCACCAAACAATGCCGCCTGTAAAATCAGTAAAATCGANGCTTAGAGCCGCTGAAACTGAATCAGCAATTTAACAAAGAATTACAACAAGTTCAGTTTCTTATACGAGCCAAAAGAATATCGGGTCTGATTATTGTAAAGGACTTTAGCCACCAAGAAATTCTGCAGTCTTTGAATGTAGATACCTTTTAAAATAGTACACTCCAAAAGTTGAAATGTTCACGAATATCAAAATTTTACAGTTTCTTCCAGTTTTTAGAGTCGATAAGTGTCTGGGATTGTGCCCTTTGTGACTTCTTGGCTACGGAAAGTCGTATGCTTGTGTGCAAAATGTAAGCAAAAATGTCACCAGAGATTCCCCTATAGCTCTGTGATAAATAAACTTTCTGGCGAAAAAAACAAACAAATAACGGCATATATCGTCATCACAGCAAACAAACACGGATTAAAGGCGAAGAAAGACAAACAACGAATAACTTCAAACATACTTTTATTTGTATTGTATAGTTTTATACCGCGAAGTATAATCAACATCAGTCTCTCCCGCCGCGTCCAAGAGCAATGGACTGGGGCCCCTGAGATTCAACCTCTGATAACGTACCGACTCTCCAGACTGAGATCTGAGAGGTTTTTGATTGGTTGTC